AACAAACCAGGTCTCAATCCCCCTCTGCCAGAGGACCCCGGTGCTGCCAGACCACACCATAATAGACTTAAGTAGGTGGGAGGTAGCATCTATCGTACCATAGGCTACAACACCTCCTGTGCAACCATGGAGGGGAGCCCTTTCAAGGGTCCGGTTGTTGGAGACTTGCTGCCAAAAGGGCCCTTATCGCACATGAGGTCTTCATGAACGTCATTAGCCTACCGGTGGAGATCTTGAATCTCCCCGTCAAGATGTTACCCTAGGGGAAATGTTGGGCATGGGGAGAAGTGGAGGGGTCAGCCTTCCTTTCGGTGTTAATGGGAGTTAAGGTGCGGGGCTGAGGTGCTCTAACGGCGAGGTGAATGCCATAGGAACTCTTCATCCCAGCATCTTCCTTTTGGTGTCAATATTTGAAGTATGCATAAATGTGCAAACACTTCAAGTTAACCAAATATTAGTATAATTGTATACTTGAGTAGATAAAAACAACATGAGCACGTAATTAGTAGTCTTTTGTCCAAACGTTCGAGGAATAAAGGGAGCTCATCATTTCATGTCATTGATAGTCGGAGTCACCGAGTCAGGGCAACATCACTAGGCCAGCCACCAAGGGCTGGGCCTTTTACCTTTGACGTCTCCACGATTTTTTCAACGATAATGCTTGGCCACGGGTGTCCGTCCTATCCGGACGCCGCGCCTCACTTCATTCGCTATTGTGGCCTTCTCCCACCGCATGCCCCACCCTGCGCCGCACGCTGGCTTGGTCCTGGCTCCCTCCTGTTGTGCGCCCCATCTAAGTCACTCACTCTCGCTCGTCGCACGCCCCACTGTTGGCGATGCTTAACTCATATTTATACTACCAACAGTTATACGAAATAAACAAATATAAGAACCAAAACTTAAAAATAGGGTTTTTAACTAACATTGGTACAAATATGTTTTGTAGGGCAACACGTGAAAACACACTAAAATGCGCAACAAAGAAGGCGCATTCAAGCAAAGCCCATTCAATCTCTGAATTTGGGCCAAGCACTGGCGTGGGAGCCATCCAGGCACAGCCAGCAACCCACCAGCGCAAGGTGGTGGCGAGTGGGCTGGCCTAGGGTGTGGCCGCACCCATGGTGCACCCACACTACCCCCAGCTCAGCCTGGCCCTGTAACACCTCGGTGTTAAGCGTGCATTACCATTTCATCCCATGAGCATAATCATCATCACCTCATGCATAAGCATCATTCATGCATTTCATTTCGAAAGAAATGAAGTATCATTTCATGTGGCGCTTAAGTGATTGAAATTCATTTATGTTTCAAACAATGTGAAATGCCATGCTCATGTTTGGATGCCATGATTTCTTGTTTTTGATCACTAAGATAGCTTATAAATATTTAGGATACAATTTGGAGCAAAGTTCATATTTAAATTTTTACCAAATTTTGCCTTTAAAAATAATTCTTCAAAATTAGGGTTTTGAATTAATATTGATTTTATTTTGTAATTCAAAATCTATTTGGAATTTGACTTTGGTCATAAAAGCAAAGTTGTAGATCTTGAAAAATGGAACAATTTTTATTTTTACACCAACTTTTGAAACTACTTTGAAATAGTTCAAAATTTTGTTTGAATTAAAAAGGATTTGAAAAAAGTTTGAAAAATCTCATTTTTCCTTTAATGGGCCGCCGCCTCCTACCGACATTGCCAAGACAGCCGGCCCGGCCTGCCTCCCCAGCGCGCCCTGCCCGCCCTGCCCCGTCCGCCCGCCCAGACGCCAAGACCTCGATCGCATGCAGAGCGCCAAGACGCCATGGTCGCCATCTTGTGCCGGCGAGCATGTCGTGCGGCACCGCCGGCCTGCCCCGCGCCCCTCCTATCACGCCTACACCTCCCCGACTGCGCTGCGCTCCTCCTCACTCCTCCACTCCGCTCTCTTGCCTCCTTGGCCCCTTGGCCAGCAGACCCTGCAGCCGCTTCGTCTCTTGGCCTTCGTCTCGCGCACCGCCCAGCGCAGCAGCTTTGACGGAGTTGGCCGTTCCGGCTGCTCCAGTTCGCCTAAGCCATCTCCATCTTGCCCTGAGCCTCGCCTCCTCCTCGCGCACCTCGTGCTCGCCTCGGTAAGCCATGAGAAGCTCCCCTTCCTCGGGAATCTCTCACCGGAGTCGTGGCCGAGCTCGCCGGAGTGCTCCACTCCGTGGACCTCGCCCCTCTGTCCTCCTTCTCGCTCTCCCTTCACGCGCACGAGCACCGCACGAGCTCGGTAAAGCTCCCGCGCCACCTCTCATGCCCCTTCCTGGCCAGAGATGGCCGTCCGTCGGTGAGCCGCACCACCGCACCGCCATGGCCGTTGGCCAGCTCGCTCTCGAGCTCCTCCGACCCTGCCGCTTGCACTGACGTGTCCGCCTTGGCAAGGTGGTCACGTTGGTGGTGACCTCGTCACCGGCCACCTCACCGACGGCGAGCTCACGCCGGTCAGCGCAGCCTCCTCTGCCTCAGGGGGTAGAAAGCCAGGTGGATCTAGCAGTTTTGAACATGGATTTTCAGAAAGGATTTAAGAAATGATTTTTAGATTTTTATTTAAATGCTTTGGGAATTTATAACTTGCTCAAAATGGCTCCAAATTTGTTGAAATAAATTTTGTTGTGTTCCTTGTCACCAGATCTACATGATAAAAATATTACATGTCATTTTTGAGATACTTTAATGTAGAGCTTTATTTAATTCTTAATATTGCTGATATCTTGTAAAATGTTTAGTAAATCCTATATGTATAAGAAAAATATGATTCTAGGTTTGTTACTCTTCTTGTGTAATGTACTTCCTAGGAAAAATATATGACATGCATGTCCTGTAGAAAAATTATGAGATGTAGTTCAAGTGCCTTTAATGGCTAATTTTTGTTATTTTTGCTAGAGAGCAAAATTTGTATAAAACATGCATGTGATAATTTTTGTGCAGTGATTATTTACTGTGTAGAACATATGAAAAATATTACATCTATTGTTTGCCACTTTTCACAGTACAAAGTATTTTCATGATCATAATTATGCCATAGCTTGTCATTTTTGTGTAGGCTAATCCACTTATCCAAATGCCATAAAAATTTAAGGGTCCGATCGTGGTGATTGTCTTTGGCTCCGATCGTGGTGATTGTGAGGGGTTCTTAACCTTTCTCCGGCGGAGAGTCAAAAGGTACTCTAGTGAATTGCTCGTGGCTTGTATGATCCTCATCTCGTGTTGGTTGTGCGACACCTTATTGAGGGTTTGGCGTGTGATGCAAATTAGCGCGTGAACCTCCAAGTGAGTGTATTGCCACAACGAGGAGTACCTTGTCGGCAAGCAAGTGAACCTCGATAAAAAATTATTGTGTTCATCATTTGATTCCGAGGTAATTGGTCTTCATTGTTATTCATTCTTGTGATTGATTGGCTCCTTCCTCGACACGGCGGTATAACCTTCTTGCCCACTCTCTTTACATTACCGCAAACTAGTTGTCAAGCGCTTTAGTATAGCTAGTTGTGAAAGCATGTTAGTGTGGCTCTTTAGTTAGCTTTGAGAGCACACTAACTTAGTGTAGTGACGTAGCTATTGTGTGAATATAAACTATATAAACTAGAATTGTGGTAGGTGGCTTGCAATTTTGGTAGGCTAGCGTAATACTTGTTTCACCTCATAATTGTCTAACCAGTTTGCTAAGTGTTGTTGTAGAAATTTTTATTTGACTATTCACCCCCCTCTAGCCATTAGGACCTTTCACCTTCGCTCCACTGGCACTAAAGAAGGCCCGCCTTTTACCGATGTGGTTAATATCAGTAGCGGTGAGTTAGTTGGACTATTGTCAATAGGAATCTTGACTAGATCAGGCATCAGATAAGCTATTTTGGCGCTAATGCAGTCCTTCAGGGCCATAGGTGTCCCATCCTCCTCTTCTCACTGAGCTGGCCTCAGCGACGAAGGCAGGATGCGCATGCGAGGAGGGTGCAGGTTGTGTGGCCGTCCGGACGCGAGGAAAGGCGGGCGCAGTGTCGAGGGCGGGGTGCACATGCAAGTCGGAGCGAGGCGTACGGAGGCGGGTTGTGCGGACGTTCGGATGCACGCGTCTATATAGACGTCCAGACGCTAGCCACACTTTTTTTTTCAACAATCGTATGCCCTTTTTCGTTAAGCGGATATTTGTTTCTAGAGGACAGTAGGACACAGACAAGAGTACGTGCAGCTGAAGGCTGACTACAACTGTATGCGCGCACTCGCCTTCTTCAAACAAGTAGTAGTGCTGCTGACCTAGGTTCTGATGTCACCCGTGATTGCGAGTCCAAGATCCAAGCGCACCATTTTTACATACCGAGAATGAATCAACAAATACTCCGCAAGCAGGCAACCAGCTTCCTCTGTCCTTCCAACGTTTCGACAAAAGACTGCTAATATACTACGTGCGCGTGCTGGTTTATCTACTTCAAGTACAATACGCTGTGAACTTGAAGTGTTCGCACGTTTCGTATAATTTTAATAATGAAACTGAAACGTGATGAGACTATCTAATGACAGAGTAAATTAAACTAAACATTTGAGACGGCTTGGTCTTCCAGAAACAGCAAAGGGCTACGCGGCTTCTTCATCACTCTCCTGCAACAACCGTTCACAAGCTGCTGGTGCACATCCAGACAAAGAATCAGTGACATCATCACTGATCTCATCTCACCAGACAAACCCGCGGGTGCCGTGCCCGGTGCCCACCAGGCCACCACCAATTTGCTCGGCGACTAGAACGTCAAAGGTCAAACCCACAAACACGGTATAAATAGCAGGAGACTCCACCAGCCTCAGCATTCATTCATTCGACACAAACAACCTCTCCTCCGATCCAAGTGTCAGCGGCAAAACCAGCTTTCTTTCAATTTCAACCCAGCGAGAAAACCAAGCGGTCTAGTAGAAGATTTCCTACTCTGCCGTACGTGCAGATCTGACTGAGAGGCAGCAGCTCGTCAAAGAGAGGCAGTGACCGCGAGCCATGGGAGTGGCCTGGATGGTGGCGGCGGCCGTCGCGGCGGTGCTGGCGTCGTGGGCGTTCAACGCGCTGGTGCACCTCGTCTGGCGCCCCTACGCCATCACCCGGAGGTTCCGCGCGCAGGGCGTGCGCGGCCCGGAGTACAGGTTCTTCACCGGGAGCCTCGGCGAGATCAAGCGGCTCCGCGGCGAGGGCGCCGCCGTCACGCTGGACGTCGACGACCATGACTTCATTCCCATGGTGCAGCCGCACCTCCGCAAGTGGATCGCGCTCTACGGTACGTGATGCGTCCATCGATCGCTAGCTAGTTGGCGCCCTGCTTCGACGCGACGCGACGCTCGAGGCTCCATCGATCACGTTGCATCAGCCGCTGACGGTCTTGTTTCTTCTGCTTCAGGGCGGACCTTCGTGTACTGGACCGGCGCGAGGCCGAACGTGTGCGTGGCGGACGTCAACGTGGTCAGGCAGGTGCTCTTCGACCGCAACGGCCTCTACCCCAAGAACCTCATGAACCCGCACATCTCCCGCCTGCTCGGCAAGGGCCTCGTCCTCACCGACGGCGACGACTGGAAGCGCCACCGCAAGGTCGTGCACCCGGCCTTCAACATGGACAAGCTCAAGATGATGACGGTCACCATGTCCGACTGTGCTCGCTCCATGATGTCCGAGTGGGAGTCACAGCTCGCGAAGGGCGGTGAAGTGGAGATCGAGCTGAGCAGCCGGTTTGAGGAGCTCACCGCCGACGTGATCTCGCACACGGCGTTCGGGAGCAGCTACGACGAGGGGAAACGGGTCTTCCTGGCGCAGAGGGAGCTCCAGTACCTGGCCTTCTCCACTTTTTTCAACGTCCAGATCCCAGCCCTCAAGTACCTCCCAACCGAGAAGAACCTCCGGACATGGAAGCTGGACAAGCAGGTGAGGGGCATGCTCATGGACATCATAAAGACCCGCCTCGCCAACAAGGACACCGCCGGCTACGGGAACGACCTGCTAGGGCTCATGCTGGAGGCGTGCGCGCCGGAGCACGGCGAGACGCCGATGCTGAGCATGGACGAGATCATCGACGAGTGCAAGACCTTCTTCTTCGCCGGGCACGACACCACGTCGCACCTGCTCACATGGGCCTCGTTCCTTCTAAGCACGCACCCGGAGTGGCAGGACAGGCTCCGGGAGGAGGTGCGGCGGGAGTGCGGCGACGAGGTCCCCACCGGCGACGCGCTCAACAAGTTGAAGCTAGTCAACATGTTCCTCCTGGAGACTCTGCGGCTGTACGGCCCGGTGTCCCTGATCCAGAGGAAGGCAGGATCAGATCTCGACCTCGGCGGCGTCAGGGTACCCGAGGGCGCGATCCTGACCATTCCAATCGCGACGATCCACCGTGACAAGGAGGTCTGGGGCGACGACGCCGGCGAGTTCAAGCCGGAGAGGTTCGAGAACGGGGTGACAAGGGCGGCCAAGTACCCCAATGCGCTGCTGTCCTTCTCCAGCGGGCCAAGGTCGTGCATCGGTCAGAACTTCGCAATGATCGAGGCAAAGGCCGTGGTCGCCATGATCTTGCAGAGGTTTGCCCTCGAGCTGTCCCCCAAATACGTCCACGCGCCCATGGACGTGATCACCCTGCGCCCAAGGCACGGGCTCCCCATGCTCCTCAAGCGCTTGTAGGTTTCATGGTGCGTGCCAGATGTGACAGGATGTCGGTTATATTTCCTTTCTTTTTGCTACTTATATCTATGTATCCTACATAATGTATGTCCTATTCTTCTTTTTTTTTTGCTTGGTGCCTGATATACTCCAATTCCACCATATATGTACATGTTTAGCTAGATTATTACTTGGATTGAACAATCTTAATTCAGAATTTCCCATGCACCAATGATCCAAGTATCTTAATCTTAACATAGGATGTTCTTTGAAAAAAGAGTAATCATATAAAATCTCATAATAAACAAAACAATTTAGCCATTAATTTGGTAGACTTTATCACCATTATTGCTGATAATAATCATTGGATCTTTATAATATATCCAATAATAATATGCCGTCATGAAAATATATAAATTCACCTCTAAGTCTACAACTAAAATTATCTACCTCTGTCATTATAAGAGATAATTTAAAGTAACCTTTCTAAATTTGCATATAAATTACCAACCTCGACTATTATGAAAGATATACAGCGTGATACCTAAATTTGCAATTAATTTACCCACCTCTAGTCTAGCATACTGTAAAAGATAATACTAAGTACCTTGTAACACATATCTAAATTATCCATCTCTGACACTATAAAATATAAACTAAATTATTCCTAAAATCTAATTTTAAATTAAAAATAGATTTTGACATATAAGATAACTAAATAAACATAAATTAAGTTATATATGTTTCTAAACTACTCAATTATGTTACTGTTGTTGTCCTTGACCGAAGTGTTGGATCAATATAGAGTGAGGATTTAGGCAAATGCTAATGAATGGATTTTTTTTTGTAATATGGAATATTGTGTCTACTTTATTTTAGGGGGGACTATTTATATGTCCAAGTTACAATTGATGGACCAAAATGCCCACCCAATGGCTAAATTCTAAGCACATTCCTAGCTGGTAATGTAGAGGCAGTTTGGTCCTTTCATCCTAAATCCATACACGAAACAACTCAGAAATATATATTTTTATAAACTAAATTATTCATACAATAGCGAGAAATATATATTTTTATAATTTGTCAATTGTGAAAATATTCTTTTGAAAAAACACATAGCAACAACATTTACAATTATTTTAAATTATATCAATACTCCAATGTTAATAAACTTTATAAGTCATATTTTGGATAAGTTTATGCATTTTGACTAAAATATTATGACACATCAATGATGTGTTTTAATTGTAAAATACTCCATCTTTTATAAAATAACACTGCTATGCATATAATTTGTTGATAAAGGTAATTAAACATCTTGAGAGTCATGGTTCATGCCAAAATGCTATTTATGCTACTATAGTAACTAAGAGTATAGTCGAGGACCTAGATCTATTTTAAATAAATATAAAATGAAAAATCTAAATAAAGATTGAATGAGCATAAGAGGTCATGAAAAATCTAAATAAAAGATTGAATGAACATGCGAATTAGAGGTCATGTGTTTATATTTGAGATACATGTTTTTATGCTCGTACTAGTGCCTCTTGCACATTCCTGGCTAAGTTTGATCATATGATCCTTATGCAATCGATCCCTATTGGCATATAAGAGGAGAATTTCTCGATAAGAAAGATGCTGGAGTTGACTACTGTGAAGTTCTTGACGAACTCGATTGAGGAGAATTTAAGGAGCTCATCTAATACCTATGCTGAAACTCTCATCATGAAGATGCTTACCTCATGCTATGATAGGCAAGTGGAATTAGGGAGCACATTATGAGCATATGCGATATGGGTGCTGAGCAGAAGCCACTTCGAGCTTTCCATTTCTAAAGGCTTCCTTGTGCACTTCATTATGACTTCCGCAAGTGGATCGCGCTCTACGGTACGTCGTCGTCAGTCGTCACAGACCTGGTGGCTGGCGTATTGCGTCCTTCGTCGGCGCTCGAACGCTTTCTTGGCAGGATTGCTGTGTTTCTTACTTACGAGGCTCCGTGCGTGGCTGCAGGCAAGACGTTCGTGTACTGGACCGGCGCGAGGCCGAACGTGTGCGTGACGGACGTGAACGTGGTCAGGCAGGTGCTCTTCGACCGCACCGGCCTGGCGGCCTCTACCCCCAAGAACCTCATGAACCCGCACATCTCCCGCCTCCTCGGCAAGGGCCTCGTCCTCACCGACGGGGACGACTGGAAGCGCCACCGCAAGGTCGTGCACCCGGCCTTCAACATGGACAAGCTCAAGATGATGACGGCGACCATGTCCGACTGTGCTCGCTCCATGATGTCCGAGTGGGAGGCACAGCTCGCGAAGGGCGGTGAAGTGGAGATCGAGCTGAGCAGCCGGTTTGAGGAGCTCACCGCCGACGTGATCTCGCACGGCGTTCGGGAGCAGCTACGACGAGGGGAAATGGGTCTTCCTGGCGCAGAGGGAGCTCCAGTACCTGGCCTTCTCCACTTTTTTCAACGTCCAGATCCCAGCCCTCAAGTACCTCCCAACCGAGAAGAACCTCCGGACATGGAAGCTGGACAAGCAGGCGAGGGGCATGCTCGTGGACATCATAAAGACCCGCCTCGCCAACAAGGACACCGCCGGCTACGGGAACGACCTGCTAGGGCTCATGCTGGAGGCGTGCGCGTCGGAGCACGGCGAGACGCCGATGCTGAGCATGGACGAGATCATCGACGAGTGCAAGACCTTCTTCGCCGGGCACGACACCACGTCGCACCTGCTCACATGGGTCTCGTTCCTGTTGGGGTTTAGTCCCACATCGTGTAGCGATGGTGGGGGAGCACAACATATAAGGCGGAAGAATCCTCATCTATCATGCTAGTCTTTTGGGTTGAGTAAGGCCAAGGCATTATATGTTGTCAGCTCCGGTGGACCTAGGACCTGTGGGGGCGCGAGGCTCAGAACGAGCCGGGCCGGCTGCAAGCCAGCTCCAAGATTGTGAACTCGGTGGTCACCACCGGTTCCAACAGTTCCTTCTAAGCACGCAGCCGGTGAGATGTTCTTCTATATTTGATAGCGATACGCCAGCTGTCTTGATGGTCAAGGAAGGAACTTCATTGATACTTGTATGAAAGTTTCATCTCCAATGATTAAGAGATATCGTCTCGCGATCATGGTCATTAACGGCCTTACGAGACACCGTCGGCGTAGACCTCATTGACTACTGATATTTGTTGACACGATGATGCACGTCATGATGTAGTGGCATCTCGTTGCCTTGTCCTTGCTGTCGACATGTAAGATGGTGTATTCAAAGATGATGAAAGTAGGCATATTCTAACTAATATGAGGTCGGTTGCAACTTGCTTCTCATAAGCATCCTAGCTTGAGTCTTAGAAAAGCTCAATGCTAGGTTGTCTTTGACATTACTTGTAGCCAGTTGATTTGTCCGTCCACTTTTATGGGTGAGTGCTTTTATTGTAGATCCGTTTTATGGCACTTCTTTTTTCTCTTTGTTCCAAAACTGAAGTGGTGGTTTGGCTTGGGTGTGAAGATTCAAACCAAACCATGAATATGCATAGCTTATCTTTATTCATCTTTGCAAAATGTTAGTAGACATATACCTGGGGGAATACAATAAATTTGCAATACGGGTTGTTGTCCATAATTTGAGGAATTTTCATCTGTGCTAATGAAAGGATAGTTTTAGGATTACTTTACCATAAATTTTATTTATCATGTTTCATGTGTTCGCTACATTCTAGTATGGTTCAAGGCAAAGATAACTTACAACAAAAGATAAAGGAATAAATCTTGATACTCACAGTTCTTCCTTCTATGAAGAATGAGCCGGGTCTTCTTTGTGTAAAGTTATTGGAGTTCATCATATGCCTTGATTCATCTCTGATGTGAATTCATCTTAGGACTTTTCTAAATTGAAGTTGAGGGTTTTCTACAGCGGTTAGTCCAACAAAATAATCAGTATCTACTAAAGCATATTATCGGTTAAAAAATCAACCTAGACACCACATCTATTTTGATTTAGGAAGGCATTTTAACCTAAGTACCACGCATAATTTAAAAACCTTTAAAAGTAAAATCAGCACACCTTTTAGTTAAGAATCAAACTAGACACCACGTCTAATTTAATTTAGGAAAATAGTTTAAACTAAGCTCCATGCTTAATTTAAAAAGGTGTATGAAGATACTTCAAAACCTAAGCATATACTATAGCAAATAAAGGTAGCATGAAAGCATTATAGAGATTTATGAAAGAGCATAATCATGGTGAGAGTTTTTTTTGTTTAATAAAGATGCAAGTGGAATGAATATATGAAAGGGACTAAGCATGCTGTGGATTTGATATGAGAAAATTCAAGGATGCATCGATTATTCAAAGTAAAAATACAGTGGAATGCAAAAATTAGAAGATAACTACTCATCAAGTTTAAAGTCCATGAGCAAGACTATCTCACCTATCTTGATCATACTTACCATGACTCACAATGAAATTTGTGAGTTGTGCGGTGTCTTTGTTTGTCACATGGGATGAGATTTGAATACTTGTGATGGTGACCTTTTCTCCAATCTACACATGGTTAGAAAAAATATATATATATCTATACAATACATGTGAGATGGCAGGGTTCTATTGTTGATAGATCATGAATGTTCAGGCACTCTGGGTACTTCAATGTTTCTTCTTTTCTTGTGGAAACTCACCGAAAGGTCGCAATGGCGTCTGTTGTCCTGTCTTTTCCACAATTTAATAGAACAGGGGTAATCCCACAAAAGCTAGTCACAACTAGATTAGCCAGAGAGCTTGTTGGTAATTTTAAACGCACATAGATAAATCCGCAAGCGTACGGATACCGCTGTACCTTTCACCGAGTATTCCAGAGTATCATATTTATCCATAGGGAAACAATGGTTAAAGAAGTTGATTGTTCACCATCATGTATCTACTAGCTAGTATACTAACAAAACTAAAGTGGGGGTAAGTGTTGTTTATGATAACAATTATGAATAATGACACACACATAAGGGAATTCCATAAATGAGCAGTCTAGCTAAATTGAGAGGACAACGTGTGAGATCAAGATTCCTAAATACTTCTCTATTACTTTAGTTCTATAGGGTAAACCATGGGCAGATATAGCGATCACACATAATAACACTTTGGGGCAATAGTACCTTTCCAACTCTCGAGGGGGATGAGAAAGCGTAGTTGGGGGAAGGCTGCATAAATCTCTACGAACACCAATCCAAACGCGGTGGATTACAACGGTCTGACAGAGCTGTCACCTCTGGGGCTACCACAACTAACCTAGGATTGAGCGCAATATCATGTAACCTATAGTCTAGACACCATGTCTATACTATGGATTACTACTCTAGTCACATACGATAACTAAAGCACTCGATGCGAGCGGATATCCCATGCTAAGGTATGATAACTATACTAACCATACACATGAAAGGCATAAAAGTAGATAGAGAAGATAATTATGTTAAAGCATAACTCTTCCAAAGATGAGATACAAAGATATACCTGACCTCTGAAGATTTCTCCAGAACTTGAGCATGGCTCAACTCTCCCTAACTCTCAGCTAGAGCTATTCTACTTCTACATCTTAAGAGCTTTGTGGGGATTTCTCTCTTGTGGTGTATCTTAATGAATGAGAGATGGCCTCTGGAGGGGTAGGGGCATCTAATATAGGGAGATAGAGTAGGGGCAAGGCATTGCCATGTCATTGATCCGCATCATCCCCTCGATCACCGTTGGATGAACCGACTTAAAACCGCCTTAAAATTAACGGTATAGATCTTGGAAACACATACGAGGTGGAGAGGCGAATGGGCTCAAGTGAGCCAGGCGGCCTCCCCACTGGGCCGACTAGCCCACCACTTTGGCAACTGGGCCTCCCCTTCTTGTGTGGTGATTCCTAGACTCCGTCTTGAGTTGCCTTTTGCAAAGTGTTCATGAGTTGAATCATTTGTTGTCATTGGTTGGCTTGTTTGGAGTGTATAATGAGTGGTCGGGGCTATTTTCTAGATAATTTCTCCTGCATACAAATATTCACCAAAGCTTGTGGAATCCATTACTTTAAACCCCTAGACCTATGTTTGGTGATGGAATTAAGCTATATGTAGGATGTGCTGATGGTTTGTGATTGACAATAACAACTGTTGACGATCACTAACACCAATTATAAATCATCAACATAACCTATATTTATACTTAATTCCATCACCAAACATAGGTATAGTGGTTTAAACTAATAAATTCCATGAGTTTTGGTGAATCTGTGTTTTTTAGCGGGGTTTATTTAGAAAACCATCAAGGAGGACCTATTCGTCAAAGGAAATTACGGAATTCCACTGCGTAAACAGCGTGGGAAGATTCTAGAAGACTTCAGGAGGCTCTCCACCGAAGTAGACCCTGAGGGGCTGCCATATGGGGCAGTCTCCGCTTCGAAAGTCGATTTCCCACCGCCATTGAGATCCAATCTTCGCCATTTATTTAAGTCAGTTTGATCCGAGGGCTCAGGATTGACGCTCTGGCCTATATATATCAGCCCCTACCCCCTCTCTTAGCAGATCCCTGAAACCCTAATTCATATCTTTAGGATCAAAGCCAGTTATCAAGAGAAGATTAGCCCTCTATAGGATCTAGTCTTGTAAATAATAGTGAGATGAAGAGTGAGGGAAGAGTTTGGAGGAGATGCCGGCCTGTCGGTGCTCTCTCTACGGCTTATACCTTGGTAGATCCAAGTTCTATCTGAGCTTGTCTCTAAGATTTCTCTAGTAATCAACTTCTGATTCAAGTAAGCTTTTTGTTTATATTATTCATCAGGTTCACAACTTGTTTGAGTGTTTTATTCTTTATTCGGGAAAAGTAAAGTAGTAATTGTAGTGTAAGCATGGTGCTTAGACTCTGGTTACTTGTGGATGCATCCTGCATTCTGGATTAGTGGTAGCTCGCGAGGGTGACTTTTATAGCCTCGTTGAATCCTCTGTAGTCCACCTCCCGTTTGTAGGGCAAGTAGGACACGATTACTATAGGAAGCATCCTCTGCTGGTGTCTTTCCTTAAGTAATATCCCCAGTTGAATAGTAGAAGACATAGCTTACCCAAGTCAGAACTAGAGAACCTAAGTTTTCCTCTCTACGCTCCAATTTATCTTAACCTTGTTGCTACCCCTAGTTAAGTTAGATCATAGTTAGTCTCACACGTTATCCTGTGGATACAATACTTGGAATACTTCCAGGTGAAAGCTACAGATGTATCCGTGCGCTTATAGATTTATCTGTGTGCGTTAAATATACCAACAACAACCATCAACACCTTCCTCTTGAGGCTGATGGTGCCGGTGGTTGGCCTTGTCGGGGGCACCTTCTTCTCCTTGGCGCCACCAAGGGGTGCCTTGGAACGTGCCGTGGTCTTCAAGCTAGTGCCACCACTCATAGCATAGCTTGGTGGTGGCATGATAGCAAGGGGCGCCTCCAAGATCATCCTCGCTTCTTCCCTCACAAAAGTGCTCTCGGGTACTAAGTCTATAGAAGCCGGCACTCCTTCAAGGTCGTAGGTGGAACTGGAGGCCGTGTACAAGGCAAGAGTGTGGCTAGCCATGCTGAGCTTAGAGTGCTTTTAGGGAGGAAGAAAAGCTATTGCTTGGTGTGAAGAGAGGGAGAGGTTTAGGGTGGTTTATATAGGAGCTCGGGCTCTACCGCGAAGGAAACAATCAGAGCACCGCCATAGCCATGATACACAGAACATCAGTGAGTTGTGCACGAAGATTGGGGGCCAGC